GCTCTCAGTGGTCGGGGGGGGGGCGGCCTAGAAGAGCGAGCTCTAAACTGCAAGAGCTGGGCCCAGCTTGCCCAGGAAAGACAGGTGCCTGCTCTCCTGCCATCTTCCTAGAGACCTTGCTCTCATGGGCCCTGCTGAAGGAGTAGACGGCCGAAGGAATGCCCTCCCTGTCATAGCTGACAGGACTCAGGACACACTCCACCTTGACAGACCAGTACTCTGATGCCTTTAAAACAGGCAAGTAGCTCCAATTAGGAAATAAATGGTCAACCAGGTGACAGGAAAGAGACTCAAGCAGCATATCCCTTGGGCTTCAATCCAGAGTGTTTGAAAAAAGTGGAGGCAGCTTATGCTGCAGGAAGAGCAGACCCTGACCCACATTCAGCAGTGAGGGGAGCCCCAGAGCTCAGTGTGGCAAGGGCCTGGGTGGTAGAATAACACTGTGGGCACGTGCCCTCAGAGAGCAACTCCAGCAGACAGGCCTCTGGGGGCGCAGGGGAAAAGGATCCTGAGATCAAGCAAGTCTGGGGGATTCTGGGTTAAACAAAGAGACTGGCTTCTGTCCTGCCAAATCTGAGCCCGTGACATGCTCATATTAATATGTATAATTAACCTAAGGGGAAAATGCGGTAAGCAAGGGGTCCCAAGGCAATTTAATCACAGAAGTTATCTTGTGGGAATGTTTTCAATTGGCATTTTATGGCCCCTATTTAGAAAAATGCTACATCAGAAAAGAGGGACCACTAAAGATTCAGGCCATCTATGAACAAAACAACCAAGTGCAAGCAATTAAGCCCAGTTCAGCAAGAGCACACTCTACACAACAGCAGAAATCAAAGGAGGTAAGAGTTGGCCCTGCACCACCCCACCACTTCCCACAGCCCTCCTGTGGGCATTCATGCAATGCTGAGGACACGCCATACCTGCAAAGTCAGAGACAAAAGCTCCTTCCTTTCCTTGCCGTGATCCTGCAGGCGCCGCTGACGGTGCTGTGACCAGCTGGACTCCCCAGTGGCCAGCCCGCTGAAGAGGCTCTTCCCGTCCTTGGGTCCGCATGCTGGGTCCTTTGCCTTAGCAGTCTGGAGGACGAGACACCAGGCTCTGAAAAGTCTCTTCCTGTCTGTGCCCACGCCATGACACCTGGGCCAGGAGGAGAGCAGAAGCCAGGAAGTGGCTTCTCTACCCAACAGCTCCTGGGTAGGGTTCCTCCCTGGACATGCTGAGCAGGTAGTTAAAATGTTCCTCTCACTGATGGGCAAAGCCAAGAGTAAAACATAGGCAATCTGGACTTCCTCCTTTCCGTTCTCTACTCCCATCATGGGAGGGTACCTCACCAGCACTCCTCAGCCTGCCTAATCTCTATCACCTGGAGGCAGGTCTCCAGACATCTCCTTGATCAAATCAGAATTAACTTTAGTTAAGAGGAAGGAGATTACTGCAGATCAAACCTCAGGAGCATTTACAAGCAATAATATGTTTGGGCAATATTAAAAAAAAAAATTATGCAGCCCGGCCATGGCTCAGCAGTTGAGCATCAACTTAGGATCCAGGAGATCATAGTTGATTCCCAGTCAGGGCACATGCCTGGGTTGCAGGCTCGATCCCCAGTGGGGGGTGTGTAGGAGGCAGCCAATCTATGACGACTCTCTCATCATTGATGTTTCATCTCTCTCCCTCTCCCTTCCTCTCTCTGAAATCAATAAAAGATATATTTTAAAAAAAAAAAATTATGCAGTACACAATCACCTCTCCAGAAGGAAAAAGGAACACAGTACCCTTTTGGGTCAAGTGTATGACTAAGCCAGTTAATGTTAACAAATATTCAGGTATTTGGAAATTATTACTAGGTAACCAGAAACTCTTAATAGGAACTATTAGAAACTCAAGGACTTTTGAACAAGATGAAATGCACAGGAAAGAAACTGGCCTCTTCTGGCTCCGTGAGTGATAGTCAACGAAGGTTAGAGCAGATAAATTCAATAATCCCCACTCCACTCCCATGGAGAGAAGGTTCTTAATCAAGAGCCTTTTTAAAAAAGAGCTGCCACCTCACCGTCTCCTTTGCAGGTTATCTGGCCAGGATCTCTTTCCAACCTTGTTCCCACAAATTGTGATGGTCAAGATAGGCCCCCGCCTTTTACACAGATATGGATGCAAACAGCCATTCAGATTGGAGACCAACCTCCTCGCAAGCCATTTATACACAAGACCTAAGTCAAGAGGAGAGACTCCCCCAAAGTCTACTGTCCCCTCCAGTTCTGCTACTTACTATTTCTTATGTTAAAACAACTTACGATGATTAACAGATTCCTTGGGACCCTGGAGCCACATGAAGAGATAAGAAAGAAAATTTTAAAGGACTGAGCCTAACTGTGGCTGACCTGCAGGGTATTTGTTAGTTTTGTTTTTCTGACTGCAGCAACCTCCAGTGTTATCTACTGACACTTGTAACAGGTGTTTCTTCTAGACAAAGTACTTGATTCTCAGAATTCTGGCTTATTTGGGGAGAAGAAGGTTCTTAGTCAAGATAAAAGAAGTAATCTAAGAAGAAAACCAACAACAATAACAATAATAGCCCCAGTATATATTATTCACTGACGGTTTACCATATGCAAGGCTTTACAAACATTCCCTTAACGGATGAGGACATTATTTTAACATGAGGAGCTGAAGCTTAGAGAGGTTAAGTTACTTGCTCTACACAGGTACAACTGGAAAGAGCTGAAATTCATACCCAAATCTGAGAGCAACTCCATACTCTGAGAAACCCGAAGGAAGCAATACCATGAGGGGAACATGTGGAAGAAAGTGACACTGAATAAAAAAGATAAGAAATGTCATAATCCTGAAGCTAAATAACACCCAAGATAAGGCCCCTCCCTCTCTCAGTGTTCTGGCCATTGCTGAGAAGTATCTCATGGTCCACGGAACACTGGACAAATTCCACAGTTTCAGAAAGTGGAAGACTTCTCTTACCTTCCCAGAAGTAAAGGCAATCAAGACAAGTGATAACAGGGAGGTCCTGAGGTAACCATGGTGGCCCTCACATGGTCCCCAGGTAGGTGTGCTCACTACCTGGAATGTGATCCAAGAGTGCCAACCCTCCATTGATTTCTTCCCATACCTACTGATCCAGAAGGCAAATTGCTCAGACTGAAGAATTCCACAGGGGTAGCTACACCTATATCAGGCAAAATAGACTTTAAGCCAATGGCTGTAGTAAGAGACAAAGGAAGTCATTACGTAATGATAAAGGGGGGTGAATTCATCAAGAAGATATAACAATTGTAAATATATACACACTCAACATCAAAGCATCTCTATATAAAGCAAATATTAATGGATATAAGAGAAATAGGCAGCGATACAATAAGAGTAGGGAACTTCAATAGCCCACTTTCAACAATGGATAGATGATCCAGACAGAAAAGCAATAAGGAAACACTGGGTTTAAACTACATGTTAAACCAGAAGGACTTAACAATATTTATAGAACATTCTATCCAAATGCAGCAGAATACACATTCTTCTCAAATACACATGGCGCATTCTCCAGGAGAGGTCATATGTTAGGCCACAAAACAAGTCTTAATACATTTAAGAAGACTGAAATCATATCAAGGATCACAATGGTGTGAAACTAGAAATCAATTACAAGAAACCTAAAAAATTCACAAATATGTGGAAATTAAATAACATGCTACTGAACAGCCAATGGGTCAAAGAACAAATCAGAAGAGAAATTAAAAAAATCTTGAGACAAATGAAAATGAAAAGACAACACACCAAAACTCACGGGATGCAGCAAAAGTAGTTCTAAGAGGGAAGTTCATAGCAATAAGCACCTAGATTAAGAAAAAAGAGCTCAAATAAACACTTTACACCTCAAGGAACTAGAAAAAGAACAAATAAATCTCAAAGTTAATTAAAGGAAGTAAATAATGAAAATAAGAGAGGAAATAAATAAAATAGAGACTTAAAAGGCAATAGCAAGAATCAATGAAACTAAGAGCTGCGGTTTTCTGCTTTTGTTTTTTTGGAAAAGATGAACAAAATAGACAAACCTTTAGCTAGACTTACCAAGGAAAAAAAAAAAGAGGCTTCAAATAAATAAAATTAGAAATGAATTCCAAAACATGTCTCCAAAAGCCTAACATTTTGATAGAAGAGACAAAAGAACTGGCAGTAGAGGCCATGTTTTCTGAATTCAAAGGTGGCCATGGGAATCCAGCTATGTAAACAGTGCTGAGTAGAAGGAAGATCAGTGTCCTGGGTTGACACGTTTTCTAAAATAGTGGGATCCTGGAAAGTGAGGAAGTCTCAAAAAGCCTGGAACCTACAGATTTGACAGATTTATCAGCCCAACCAAGAGATCTTTAAACTGGATATTTGAGAATAAAAGGGAAGAGCTCGTATAAAATTGCATCCATGCTCAGGGAAGTACACAGACCAGAGGGGGATCCTCCCTTGGAACCAGAGATGGGGAAGGCTACAGAGGGGAGATAGACTCTATTTTCTCTCCTTATTTACCCACTACACCTGATAAATGGAGTCTTTTCCTTTTTCAGTGCTTGGTGTTAAGAGTGCTCAATTCAGTTGGCCCACGCAGATGGAATAGGGAGGCTTAGGGTGGGCTTCAAATTCCTCTAGTTGACACAAAAACCACTTTTAACACTTCCCCAGCATGGACAGAAGTGCAAGGCAGAGCTTCCCTCACAAGTCAAGATGGCAAGAAAGTTGTGCAGAATATCATCAGGCTCAGGGCTGGATAGTGTTCCCAAATGAAAATTCAAACAGGCATTAACAAAAGGCACTACAATATATTAAGAACTGCCTTTATAATGACAGGGCTGTTACACAAAGAGAGCAGTGGACATAAGTGTGAGCTATTACATCCTGCTTAAAAGAGACCTTTTCCTTAAACTGTACCTAAGTTATTTACTAAACGAGGCAAACAACAACAAAAAATGTGCTAAAAGCTAATGAATTGCAGTTGCTCATAAAAACACCTTAATAAGTAGTTTAAGGTAAACGTGTGTCTAGTTACAAATGCATATAACTTAAATAGACGTTCACTGTGAAATAAGCAGTAATTCAAAGTTTTATTTTAAGAGCAAACTTCATAAAAATATTAACTACTGAATTCATATAACATTGCAATGGCCCAAATTATATTCAGTCATATTCCATCCTAACCTACCTGTCTCCCACAGTTCAGGAGAGATATGTTTAACTGATGTTTATCATTTGGCCTCTTTGCTTCTCACGCAGGCTATAAATTAATTTTCAGTGGCCCAAAAAGAGCTTGCCAGGCAGTTATCCAAATGGGGCAGGGAACAAGTTCCAGTAATTGGATCTCCCCTGAAGCAAAATAAAGCCACCCAGAGGACAGGCCCTCGACACACAGAAATTACAGAACAAAGGATGAGCAAGAAGGCTCCCTTTTCCCCATTCTGCGAAGCTCCAGGGAAACAGCCCCCAGGGCACCTGTACTCACCACTGAGGTCTCCGTAGCTACGAGGTAATTAGAGAATACCAAAGTTTGTGGATGCTTTGTTTTCTTTACAGGATAGCCAATTAGAGGTTATCTCTATAATAGGTAATTCCCACTTGCAGTCCCACAGCTTACTGAGCGGGTGTGGAAGGAGTGGAATTAGGGCTAGAGGGAGGAGGGAGTAAACCTGCAGGCAGGTGAGCAGGCTGCTGAGGTGCCCTCTGAGGCTGCTGCTGTCCTAGAGATCCCATGGGAACCACAGTTTTACAGCTACTTCCATTTGTAGTTTAAATTTTGCCTCCAGATTCAGACTGAGAACACTGAGAGTGTATCACCATCTATTTTGCCATCTACAATGCTATAAACATTTCAGTAATAATGACAACAGTTAGAGCAATCAATCAGTTACAAGTGGGCAAAATGCTGATGTGACAGAAATGTATACTGATATATACAAATATTTAAAATAGGAAAGCCTAATCATTTTATGTGTTGTTAATTTAATAACAGAGCACATGGTTTTTTATTTGCCTATTGGTCACTACTAAAAAAGAAAGAGGTAGTTCTGGCAATGCTAATGGTGAGAAAAAGACTATTGGCTTAACATGTGCTAACAAAGCAATGTGGCTTTAAAAAAACCAATGTCACCCTAGCCAGTGTGGCTCAACTGGTTGGGTTTCATCCCATTCACAGAAAAATTGCTAGTTCAATTCCCGGTCCGGGCATATGCCTGTGTTTCGGGCTCCATCCCAGGTACCGGGGCACGTAGGAGGCAGCCGATCAATGTTTCTTTCTCTTTCCCTCTCCCTTCTTCTCTAAAATAAAATTTTTTAAAATCTTTAAAAAAAAAAGCAAATAAGACAATGTCATTTTCTACTGAGTTAAAAAGAAATGTATCATTAAAATCAAAGGAATTGATCATACAACTGTATTTGATATTGGTAAGAGAGCATCTCAAATTATACACTCAAATTTGGCTATCAATTGTAAGAGAGGAATTAAAAAATTAGAATGTCCCTTCCAGAAGAGGGGGACCAGCATGGTGAGGGGGTCTAGAAATCAAGCCACATATATAAACAGTTGCAGGAAGAGGGATGGAGGAACGAACAGAGTGCTTAGCATAGAAAAGATAGGAAGAGTTGTCCTAAGAGAAGCCTTAGTCTGTGTAGCTCCACAAAGCAAGGCTAAGACCAGTAAGTATAAATTATAGGGAGTTAGTAAACAGCTTTATAATGGGCAAACATTTCCCATGTTGACAAGCCATGAGCTCCTCATCACAGGAGGGAATGTATCAGAGAATGTGCCCCTCTACTCAATAGGAGGGTGGGCCAGATGACCTTTGAACTTCCTTTGACTTTAAAAGTCTTTTATTATCTTGAACCTCAAATCTACTAGTTATTTTTAGAACTGAAACATCAATGCTGAATCTAATTAATAAATCAATAAAAAATAAGTGTCCCAACCACTGGGTTTTTCAGATTGTAGACATCTGTAATCTCCATTCAGGAAATGGAAAAAGGGCTACCTTTGCCCTGATGTACCACGAGGTGAACCGAGCTTTGTTGGAATATATATTAGAGGCAAGATAAGGAATGTTTGCTACAAACGACACATTCTTACCCTCATCTCTTGAACGTAAACTGTACAAAAAATTCCCCATCGTATTTCAGCCTTACCATATGACACTTAGTTCCTGAATACATAAAGAGCAAGGCCACAGGCTTCATCCCAAAGAAACTGTCTGTTCTCTTTCATTTTTTCAATACCACCGAATTGCATAATTTCATGCACATTCCAAGGGACCTAACACTCCCTATGTCATCTATTACTCTTATAAAATATTGCACAATGAAGAGATCTGCAAAGCAAACAGTAAACCTTACTCGGACACATTCCACAGAACTTGAATTCTAATTCATTTGAATTTCAGAAAAATAGTCATAGGAGTAACTGTGACTGATGTTTAACTCATGGATGCTAAGGTTACAGTGGTTGTGCACTGCTGGTACTTTAGGTCTCAGAACAACTTGGGAACCCATGCAGGCCAGTTACCTTCACAGATATAACTACTACTAAAATGTATTGATTCCTTACAACCTGCCTGGTACTATATATACCAAGGACCCTTAGATCAGCTCAATTAATCTCCCCCACCAGAGAATTAATACTATTATCATCACTCCCAAGCAGACTGGGTGAGTTTAAGCAATCTGAGCAAGGATGATAAACCAGGAGCTGGAGCTGAAAGCGCACCTGTCTGACTCCGAAGCCCCTGCTCTTATCCAGTGTCCTGCTCGGCAGCTGCACTTCAACAATGCTAAACCCAAGTGCTGTGCTAAAAGTTCCCACACCCCAGTGGCAGCCTAGGGAAGATCCCTGCCTCCTGGATGCAATGAGCAGCCCCATACTGCTGTGTCACCTGCAACTGTTGTCAAGCCCAGGCTGGCAGGACAACGACGGCTCACTTTACCTGTCGCTAATACAAGTATAGTAAGAGAGAAAGGGTCCCTACCCAAGCAGGCATTTCTGAAAGCAATGACTTCTGACCATCTGTGCGAGGAAAACTACTCCATGGGACCCTCAGCTGTTTGGGACATACACTAGCATAAAAGAAATTCTGCAAGCTTCTACAAATGTGAAAATCCTTTGGAGAATCAGTAAATCCAAATTTGTAAAAGAAATTCCACTGATTCAGAAGTAACTCTAATATATTCTTTATCTATACACTACTTTATATCACCCAAAATTCAAAATCCCAGAAGCTTGAGTCACCAAATCACAGTGATAAGCCCTCCTGAGCGTAGAGGAAATCTCTGAGAAAAGGGAACAGATCCTTCAAAGCATACTTCCTCTCTGCCACCCACCCCTTCACCTGCTGAGTGTCAAGTGTTAGGGGCTTTTGAGAGCTGGCATAGGAGCTCAGGCAGTGGTCAGAGTGGCAGCATGTTGTGGGAAGAGAGAAGTCCCTGTGAGTTAGAACTGGGTGTGAGATCTGGCACTACCTTTGGTCAGCATGCAGACATCTGCCTCCTGTCTCATTTTGCCTGCAACAAGTACAATTCCAGCTGGAGGGAACGATGGGGGTGGGCAGAGAGTGCATTGAGTGGATTTTCCTCCTACTCCCTCGGTTCCTCCACTATACTCTTATCTCTATTCTCATCCAGCAGGGGCTGTCACTGGTCTATGAGGGGAAAGGCAGGGAAAGAGGAAGAAAGGGAATTTCAGATCTCGCCGGCACACCCAAGAAATCAGTCCTAAGGGGAAGACAGACAAGTCTTTTTGGCAAGAGTTAGAAAAGCAGGACTTGTGCTTACCTGACTGCTGATGGACTCTTTCTTGGCCGAGCTCTGAGCCTGAGGCGGGCCCTGGGCAGGTGACAACCTTGAGGGGCTCTTCTTACTCTGAGGCAGCAGCGAGGACAGGAAGCCCACACGAGGAGACTGGGAGAGGGAAGTGTTCCTCTGGCTGCACACCATGGCTCTGGACAGGCACATACAACACAAGGTCACAGGGCTGGAGAGGACCTGGGAGAACACGTAGCACAGACTGCGTGGCTCCAGACAGCGCCAGTGGGCAGTGCCTTAGCCCGGTTCACATGCCTAGGCTTTAAGGTGGCATCATCCTCAGTACTACTGCTTATACCAAAGAGAGCGGCAGCCTGTCTGGCACAATGTGAAGTCTATGGCTCTCCTTTGAGGGCCCTGGTAAAGTCAGTTACTCTGTTTATACTCTTTACATGTTTGAAATGATAATCGGGATACACTGGGCTAAATAAAATATATCATTAAAATTAACTTCACCTGTTTCCTTTTACTTTTTTTTTTTTTTAACATAGCTACTAGAATTTTTAAGTTATATTTCTTGGCTTGCATTTTCTCTCCATCAGATGGCGCTATCTCAGAACCTAGAGCAATTTCACCCAGTGTAACACTTGGCCAAGTGTAGGTTTGGAATCTGTCTGAGTTTGCATCCTGACTCACCACTCTCTCACTCACTCACTGTGCCTACATCTCTTCAACTGCTACTACTGTTATTATTATCAACTGGGTCTTCTGTTTAGCTGGTTGTTTTTTTAATGTGGCTCAAATACCTCTCCCTCCGTCTGCCTACCTCTTCAAACCCTCACACAGGAGCATGCTTCTACTGCAGAATGCATCCAGCCTGTGGTTGCCAGTCTTTTCAACTATGAGGTACTGCTTCCAATGCACAGAAACTTTCCAAGGTTTTAGGACACCGGTTGTATTTATTTATCCAGGCTGTACACACCTGGATGTGCAGGCCCTGGAAGAACTGGGGTGGCTCAGAGGACCTCAAAGGCCAGGGGAGCTTACTCAGAAAGCTAGGAAGCACTGACAGTGAGTGCAGGAGGCTCTTGGGCAATTCTGCATCTCCAGGAGCAATGGGGCCAGGCCGCAGCGAGGTGCTCCTTAGGTAACAGCACAGGGGAAAGAGGGGAGGAGGGGGCTTCACTCACAGTTCCGAGTCCCCCAGGCGGTCCATGTTGGAGACGTAAGGAGGCAACTTGTGTTGGACCAAGGTCTCTTCCTCTTCTGGCTGTTGCTCTTCTTTCTTTAGTCGGTGGATTTCAGCTTGCAATGCGAAAAGCTACACAGAGATGGACCGAGTTAATCAATGACATCACCCCACTGGGGAACATCAGCAGCATCACATCCAACACCCAACCTCACTGGCTCAAAAGGCCACTGGCCCTCGGTCTCAGGGTGCCCATCCCATTCTGCTCACTGTAGATTGGGAAAAATAGGCAAGTGCAGCTGTTACTTGACTACACTGAGGTGAGAAACTAAAACCGTTAGATATACAAAATCCACCTTTTTTTCCCTTTTTATCATTTGACTCGCTTCCCTTTTTTCATCTGACTTGCTTCCTCCTGAATTCACTGAGAAAAACAGCTCCACCCAATTCTGCTTCGCTCTTGGGAATCTACAAAATCAGACTTTGGAACTCTCATGGAAAAGTTTTTTTAAATGAGGTTCAACATTTTTGGCCATTTGCCTGAAGAAAATTATACACACACACCCAAAACCTAAGAATCTTAAACCCCAAAACCTAAACAGTTTATAATCTTCCTTGTTCTGAAAATCTTCCTTTTTCTGAAGAGATCTTAATTTCAAGGACAGATAAATGCTCCTCGGGCAAAATGTGAAGGCAAATGTGGGTCCCTAGATCCTATCGTTTGACCAAACTAAAGAAACATAGAGCTGAGAACAATTAAATTATACCTGGGTTGTAAACAACACAGATGTGGATGTATGTGGAAAAGGACTGAGAAATATGAAAGAGACATATAGAAACAGGTCAGTTGCCAGGTGGCATGAAAGCATATATAGCCTTTTCCCTCTCAGAAGTTCACTACTGTTACTACATTGTTCACACTAAACACATGACTAAAATATGAGCCTCGTCTCTGGTTTTCAGAGACTGTTACCGCCCCCAAGTCTCCAACACTGATTTTTCTGGTGACTCACTTTCATCTGAGATCAGTGCTTTCCTATACTTGACCAGCCCTCCACTGCCTCTACCTAATTTCAAACACAAAAAGCAGAAGTACTTCCCAAGAAGCAAGTGTGCTCAGAACCAACCTTCTGACGCAGAACTTCATTTTCTTCTTGAACCTGGTTGGTCTTCTGGCACTCCGCATCAAAGTTCAGGATCACGGGAACTGGTGCACAAAGTTAAAGAATAAGCTTGTCTGGGAAACGATTAAGAGACCTTCCCAAACTCCTGACACAGCAGGATCACCCTTGAACATGAGACATGGGGAAGGGGCAGACTCAGTGCTATGGGCTCTTCTCAGCTCTATGAAGTAGTTTCTCCCTTGAGGCCAGGCCTGGTCTAACTTTGTTCAGACTTATAGACACATGACAATCTGTTGGCCAGCCCACAGAGAGGACATAAATCCAAACCTGAGAGTTCTCTCCCAATGCCAACAATCAAGAGCCATATCCAGTGGGCTTCACAGCCAGTCTAAGCTTCAGTAACCTTCACCTAAGAGCGAGCCCAGTGGCCACTGGCTCTGCAGGCACGCTGCCAGCTGCTCCACCAGCTGGGCAGAAGGATCAGCTTACTAGGCTTTCCCCTGCCCAGATTGAACCTCTCCCTGCAAAGGTTCAGACTGAGGAGAAAGCTTTCTGCAGTTTATACAGCCACACGCCACCACGTGAACGTCCATAGTGTAGGTTGGGGTGTCAGTCTTTCCCAACCACCTCAAACAGCTTCAGTCAGGAGGTGTACAAAGCAGTACTGAGGAAGTGAATGGTGGCTAGAATGGGCACTGTCTTGCACTGAAAAGGCCTGAAGTGACATTTTCAATTTCCCCTAGAGGGCCCACGTGGTTGGCCTGGGCCTCTCTGAGGGTTTCACTTGAAAGCCCTCAGGATGAAGAGCCACAGCAGGGCCAGAAGAAAGGCAAAACTGGAAAGAGCAGAATTCACAGCAGCCACAACACAAAAGGAAAGGGCACCCTTCCTATCTCTACCAGCAGATAATCCTCCCAGAGACCAAGATGGCTGCTGTGGGTGGGCCTCCACAATGCCCCATTTATCAGTGACTCAGCAGGCAGCCCCATTCAAACCAGGGTCTTCCCCTCCCCTAGAATCCCTACCTAAAGAGCATAAGCAATGGATAATGGTCCCAGGCCTTGGGATCAAAGGCATTTCCTGACAAAATGGTAAATATGGTAGGCAGTAAATTATTTACATTCTCTCTTTCTCAAATAATCACACATATATTCTTAAAGCTACTCTGTTTTCTGGCAAGTTGAGGAACACTGAGGTCACTGTCAGAGAAAGCGACCTATGATAGGGAGGAAGTTTCAGCCCAAGAAGTGTTCTCACCTGCTACCTAATCCCAACAAAGGCAAGTGATATCCTGGGGGGGCACAGAGATCATGCTCTGGAGGATGGCTGGTTTCACTAAGCAGCAGCTGCCTACCAACCCCGGTATGTGCTGAGAGAGGCCCTCAGCCCTATTTGAGGGCTCCTCTCAGAGCTTAGCACTAGCCCCTCACTGCTGCTAATCCTCCACCCACCCACACATGTCCGCCATTACTTCAGCAGCAGAGCGTCAGACACCAAGACTTATGATTCCCTGGCCTACTGACAAAAATAACCACAATCTGTCCAGCTCCCCTTGTGTCATGTGACACACGACAATGATCCTTGGGCATTCTGTATAAGAAATGATTGCATCAGGAGCAGCAGCCACTGATCACATTGTCTGGGTGCATCAGGCTAGGCCCAGGCAGCTAAAAGGATATGCATGCACTGAAACAGGACACTCAGGAAATTGTGCAGGGACACAATGAAGGTGTCAGCCCACTGTCGAGAAAAGTAGGTAGCAAAGGTGGGGTTGGTGTCTGGAGATGGCAGGAAGGGCAGGACAAACCAATCCTTCCACTCGGCCTGGTTCTGGAGCTCCGTGGCCTGCTTTGCAAAGAACTCCTGAGCCTTGTCATTTCTGTTTGTCTGCCAAGACACAGAGGAAGTTACAAGGAGAGGGAAGAGATCGAGGTCCACAGGTAAGATTCTTCATCACTGCACAACAGAGAGCCTTAGGATATCAGCCTGCTAGGTAAGTGGCCAAACATGATGTACAAACTCCATAAAATAAAGAAAAATCATCACTCTTTTCTCAAGTTCCCTGTAATTTCAAAGAATCTGGTTTAAACTGAAGACATGATGATAAATGCCATCCTAAAAATTAATTCCTAGTTGATTTTCAAATAATCTAACTAACTATTCCCCCAGGTCAGCTATAATCTCTATTACACAAACTTTAACCCAGCTACTTATATTCTTTAAAACACCAGCCAGGCTTACATGCTTAAAACAAGTGGAGAGACAGGAATGAGGAAGACAAGTCAGATGATCTACAGATGAGAAGGGGGGGAAAATATTGAGAAAACAGTCAAAAATAACTTGCACTGTGACTATTTCACCCTTTCCCAGAGTAACACAGAGTCCTCCCGAGAGATGAAAAGAAAATCTATCTCTGGATCAAATAACTCTTTGCACCAAGGAATCCCTGAACCAACAAGCACCTGAATCGTGTACACGAGATAAAAGCGGAACAGGCTGGTTTTCAGCTTGTTGATGGTGGGTCTATATATATCCTCCAAGCGGCTGAAGAGTCGACGCTCCAGGTAGCTCCAATAATCCCGCAGGGCGGCCAGGTCGTACACCTGCATTAACTGCTGCAGCTGATCCACAATCTTGTCCACCTGGTGAGAGAAGGCGTTGAAGGACAGAAGGGAACTCCCCCCTCACTCCACAGAGTTTACACTGCTTTTCCCTCTTGCTGCGGCTTCCGGATGTTAAATAAAAATTTAAATTGGAGATCTAGAGAACCCTACAAACATAGCAACGTAATAGCTCTTAAGTTATTTTCCGATATCAGCTATATGGTTTGACCCTCCAGCAAGTGTGAAAATTGCAGGTGTTACAAACACTGGCTCAGGAAGCAGGAGATACTGGATCCGATGTTGGAAAAGAGAAAGTGGGACAATCTCCACGGTCCTCCTCCCAGCTCCGCCATTCCGGGATTTCAAGGCTCGGGGTGAGGGGCGTGGGCTGACTGACTCCTTCAAGTCATCCAAGCGCCCAAGGCTCTTGCAGCCGCTCAGAGTGTCAGCCAAAGAGGTCACCTCCTTGTGAGGAGCAATCGCACCACGGGACACAATCTGGAAAAGGTTTACGGCTACCAGTACCAATCCAACACCCCCATTTTACAGATCAGAACACTGAGGCCCGGAGAGCTCAAACGCTCTGCTTTGGCCACGAACCTTGGCAAGACAAGACCCCAGGTCTCCTAGCTCCCCTCCAGCACCCCTGCCGCTAGCTCGCAGCCTGTCTCCATTCACCTGTCAACATTAAGGGAAGCCAGCAAACAGACACGCATACATCCCAAGAGCTTCTCAACGGAAAACCATGTCCTAGCAGGGGAAATAGAATGTATTAAAACGTGCAATGAGGTCTTCCTCAGCTGCCGAAGCAAAATCGCCAGCGAGTCACCGACAGGGCCATTTTCAACAAACACCGCAGACCCTTGAACCCAGCTAACATTCTGGGCAGCAGAGCCCGCTGCTCCCAACGCCATCGGAAGCCAATAGGGAGTATCTGTGTTGTCCAAATTCAACCACCCGCCCAGCCTTCGCTCCGAAAGCCTCGTCGCCATCCCCGCCAACGAGTGGCCAGCACCTGCGGCAAGGCTGCCGCGGAGGGCGGAGCCCTGACCCGGAGTCGGGGCGCCTGGGCTCCAGCCTCGGCGATGCTCCCGACTCGCTGGGCAACTTCAGGCAAGTCGAGTCCCCCCTCGGGGCCTCAGTTCCTCCTCGGTCAGGCGAGGGCCTGACGCTCAAGTGGAAGGTCCCCCCTCCCCCCACAGCGCGGTGACAGCGCCGCTCCCGCCTCAGAGGGCAGCGCCGGGGAAGAGCGCGCTCCAGGCTC